ATAACAATTGCAAGAGTACAGTGCTCTCATGCTATGAGAGAATTTACTGCAGGTGGTGAAAAGGTATTGGTTTTTGTAAAATTTCTCTGAAAAAAAGTCATAAATTTGAAAACTATTGTAGGAATCGCTTCAGAACATATCAGTTGAGAAATACTAAAAAGCCCACACTTCAACTATTTTATTTTTAAGAAATTCAATAAAAAACCACCATGTATCTGCTGGAAACATGCATGCCTCGATGCAGTTAATACATGAAAATTCTTTAATTTATATATTACAGTCGCTCGCATTTTTATATTCATAAAATTAAAAAAATACAAAAAATTATATGGGGCATTGTGTCATAAAACTTTATAAAATTATTAAAAAATATGAATGGAAAAAATTAAATTATTTCTGGGTCAAATTTGAGTGTTTTAGAAGTTATTCACTTTAAAATAACGCGATTATAAGCGAAGAGGTGCCTGCACCACTGCTGCACTATTTTAAGTAACAGTGACTGATGGGAAATTTGAAAATTGAAATCCAAGAACACACATGCTATAGTGCCAATTTGACACCAATTATTAAATAAAAATAATGAAACACTTTAAGCAAAAACTGAATTGTGCATCATAAAATTAAAGAAAAATTAGTCAGGTAGTAATTTTTTCAGATTTTTCAAACAATTGGAATTTTTACACTAACTAATTAAAAATTGATTTGTGCCTAATTGGCACTAGGTGCATGCTGACGGGTTAATATTTTTTATATTTATTTTTTATTACAATTAATTTAGTCGTAATATTTTCTATTATGTATCCATTTTTACAAAAATTTGTCATAAAAACACAGCTATTCATATTTATTGACATTGAATAATCTTAAATAGTAAATTTATATTTCAGCATGTGGTGGAGAATTGGATTTACCAACAAGTGTCATTACTTCCCCCAATTTTCCTCATGCTTTATCATTCAGAAGATATTGCCGATGGATAATTTCTGTAGAAGAAAACAGAAGGATAACTTTTACTTTCACACATTTTAATCTGAAAAAGGATCCTATCAATGGCACTTGTTTAAGTGGATTAAGAGTAAATATATAGAAATAAATTTTTTCATAAATTATTGCAACATTCTAATCTACACAAAAACAAAATAAAATTTAAAGAATTTTTTAAGTTTTAAAATAAAATTTAAAGAACTTTTTAAGTTTTAAATGATTAATATATTTTATTATTTTATGTTTATATTTAGAATTATGTGATATAACATTTATGGTCTATTGACTTATCAGTTTACTGTAGTAAATACTATAGGTTATTAAGTTTCCATACAGTGAATTTATTTATATTATAAAATATAAAATTTGACACTTCTTATTATTGTGTGAAACAAGCACAAAAAACATAATAATTTATATAATATATAAAACATATTTCATATTTTATATACTCAGAATATTCTCTACTAAAAATTGGTTATACTTAATAAAAACAACTCACTCAAACACCAATACAGATACAATATTTCAGTAAGGTTTATTAACAACTTTAAGGTTGCAAATATGATCATTTTATCCATTTAAAATGGACACCCTCAGGTAAGTTACAATATTTTACTCAGAATATTTAGAAATTTAACATAATTTAAAATTACAGTTTAAAACAGTTATAACTAAATTACATTTCAAATATAATAATAATCAAATGATAAAGCCTGATATAGTTCTAGCCTGATAAATAATATCATGCTAGAACTTGTTAATTAAATAATCTAGGTAACTATTTAGATCTTAATTAGACAATACATTTTCATGATTTTATGAATAACATTTTTTCAAGGAGAAGAAATAGATGAATATTTAGATTTGTTCATGTTGAAAAATCAATTTTAAAACTCAAATTGTGTTGACTTAGCACAAACATGAATTGTGTGAATTGAGTTTAAAAATTTATTGTACTACAGCACCATCTAATAAAAACTTTTATAATTATAATGAGAAAGTCATTTTATCATTATAAATAAACTTACTGAATATTAAATAATTATATATAATATTTTTTTTAATTAAAATATAATTTTTTTTATATTTTAAACTGTTTTGCTTAAATATTTTTGCTGACTACTGGCCTTAATTTAAAAATTGCTGGTCAAGCTGGTCCAATGCCAGCTGGGTGGTAACCTAGTGGCAGTGGATCAACTTGACCTGTGGCAACCCTATGTGGAGGGTCTGTAAATGCTTTGGTAAGTATTAATGCAAAATATTTCACACTTCCCTATTCAATTATAGCATACCATATGTAATTATCAATTTTTTGAATTGTTATTTTAAAATATGTTAAATTCTAAAATATTTGAATACAGCCATGATCTCATATCCAAACTTCTTATATCCAAATCTCTGATATGACATTCTACAATACATATTGCAATTGTGAGAAGCCGTGGGAGCTTAGAGTGTTAAATTCTAAACCCCTTTGATCGACAACATGTTGGTAAAACCCACTCACATTGTCACTGGATGGCTCATGGCTGTATCAAAATAGGAGAGCTATGAATCAAGTGGGGAGGGTTAGCGAGGTCGTCAATAAGGCGCCAGTGATCATGAGTAAGAGAAGCCATTTTAAAATTCAACAAGTTTAATAAAGCTAAAGGTTACAAACATAAATCTAGGCACAAGGAATACAGTTTCCTCAATCTAGTGCANCAAAATATTTCACACTTCCCTATTCAATTATAGCATGCCATATGTAATTATCAATTTTTTGAATTGTTATTTTAAAATATGTTAAATTCTAAAATATTTGAATACAGCCATGATCTCATATCCAAACTTCTTATATCCAAATCTCTGATATGACATTCTACAATACATATTGCAATTGTGAGAAGCCATGGGGGCTTAGAGCGTCAAATTCTAAACCACTTTGATCGACAACATGTTGGTAAAACCCACTCACATTGTCACTGGATGGCTCATGGCTGTATTAAAATAGGAGAGCTATGAATCAAGTGGGGAGGGTTAGCAAGGTTGTCAATAAGGCGCCAGTGATCATGAGTAAGAGAAGCCATTTTAAAATTCAACAAGTTTAATAAAGCTAAAGGTTACAAACATAAATCTAGGCACAAGGAATACAGTTTCCTGAATCTAGTGCAAATCACTAGAGTGTGTTTTTACTATCAAGCAAGTGTTATGCCTACTAATAACTATTTCTGCCTGAGAGAGAGAAAGCATACATAAGATCAATCATATATCATACCTCTGTGCATCAGGGGATGTAACCTCATAAGCTAATTATCTGGTGAGATGCTTGGGATGACATGTACTTCCTTCACAAAGTTAAAGATAAATCCATAGGAACTTGCTTGCATTGGAGGAGACAACACAAAGTAAAAAGTTAGCTTCCTGTAGTACAATTGCCCCGATGAATGGGTGCCTGGCCATTATATCCCCATCCAGTGTGGGAATTTGGTCAGATGATCATTTGTTTGGCAGCAATATTGTCCAGCTATGACACCTTTGATGTGTTCATCAAAGGTGTCATAGCTGGACGATGAAAATTAAACAAAGTCAATTTGAAGGTTTAGTATTTCCTTCAATTGTTTTTAAATTTCCCCCATGGACTAAGTTATGTGTCAACTTTCTCACACTTTACAATTGATTGTTTTAACATATTTTTGATAATTTCATGAGTCAATGTGAGGAGAAAGGACTTGTTCACAGTTAAGTTAACATTCCATATTCTCCTATTTTTAATTCCATTGGAAACGAACAATAAAAGGGAAAGTTTCTAAAATGTATTTTTTTGTTAAAAATTTATAGAGAAAATAGCCCCTGGATACTCACAAAATATTCAAATTGAAGAATTATTCTGGAAATTGAAGGTTTATTTCTTTACATTGATTAATGTTGATGTGCCATCTAAAGCATTTAAAATAAGAACAAGTTAAATTTTTCTCATATGAAATAATGAAAAAATACTTTTGATATCTGATTTGTAATATTTAAAAAAATTTCATGAATGCATTAGATTTAGATAATGGAGTATAGTTGTATATATTTTTTAATTTCATATTATTATTGTATTTTTTCAGATAATTAATGGAACAAGACCTTATTATGGTTTAAATGGATACATATGTGGAAATGTTATACCTCCTCCAATAGATTCTAGCAGTTATAATGCTCTTATTTTATACTATTCTTATGGTACTTCTGCAGGTGAAGGATTCAGATTGGTATATACTTCAGATAAAGAAAGAGGTGAGGCAGATTTATAAAATTTCTTTATTTCTTAAGAGTCTAATGTAATTTATATTTATAGAACTTTTTGTTTCTAATTTTATATTTTTAATAAAATGAAATTGTTTACTAGAATAAAAACATGCAGAATTTTTCAAATGATTTCAGTTGAATAAAAAGAATATTGGATTTCTAAATTTCTTTTCAGTCATTTATAATTATTGATAGGTGGAAAAGTTTTACTGAAGCATAAATATAAACAAGAATGATTCTTTACTTTTCTGTGGTGTGACGGGTTAATGAAAACCACATTTGATATGTAAAATTCATTAAACTATCTCTTGTAACAGATAAACAATAACAACAATATCAATTTATTATCTTTTACACAGACTTACAATATCCCCTTTCATGTTGCCTTTTTCTTAACAATAGGTTGCAATTTACTGACAACTGTGAGTCCCGGATCCGGCACGTGGACAATCCATTTGCATCGACATAAATTACTACTTAAAATTAAATTATCCTAGATTAATATTAATGTTAGTTAAATTAGGGAAGTAAGGGAGGATAAATTTTGCTAGTTTTCGGGATCCCTTATTCCTTTATTTAGCGGTTTGGGGTACTAAAAGTGTCATTTTGTAAAAGTAGAGACTTTTTTATCACCTCACCAAATGGATATCCTTTGTAGAAAAATGGGAATGTCAACTAATAGTCTTTTCTTCACTTCTTAAGATCACCAAATCCAAGCACTATTATCTCACATATTCACTATGTAGATCTTCGCTCTCACAACTCTTCTCCTTGCTCATCACATGCTTTCCTCCTTACTTGATTCACCAAGAATGAACAAAAATTGTCCCCTATGCTGTGACATCAGTCGATGCACCTTTCAGCTCAAAACTAGACAGAAACAAACACTGAGCGGTTAAAAGAGTTGAAAAGGGAAAAGCGACAAGCATTAGTTAGATAGACGAAGGGAGGACATATAAATTAACAATTTACTTAATAAAATCTACATATATACATTGTGGGGATCCCACCACATTTCTAAACCAGTTAATATTGTATTATGCAATTTATTTTATTTTAAATATAAAAATTAGAAACAAACTAAACATTTTATTTATAAATTTTCATCCGAATGGCAATTATTAAGTTTCTGAAGATAAAGTCTGTCCAAAAAGGGACCATTATTTATTATCTCATGTTCCAAACTACACACTTAAGCTTGTTTATGTTGAAAATAAGGTAATCTTTTCTTATATATTAAACTTAGATAAAATTTATTAACAAAGCTGGAATAACAACTTTCAAAATCAAAACCATTCATACTTGTGGGTACTTGTTCATGCATAATTAATCACTACAAACAAGGTCACATACAATAAAAGATTAAAATTTATTATATACATGAAATATGGCACGACTGTACAGGTTGAACACGGGAGTGATAATCCATACATCTGGAGCAAGGTCCAAATCCAAAAGGAATGTGTTGTCATAGGTCAGGTTGCCAGGTGTGTTCAGTTCAGGGGTTCCTCCTGGTGGCGACTTTGGGATTTGTCACCAAAGTTGTCGCCACAATACTTTTCCAGCAAATGAGTTTCTTCATTAAATGAACGTACGAACATTTTCAGTTTAATTTGTAGTACTCCCATCCCATATTCATTTTTATTTTTTTTTTTCTCCATCCTGAGATGTTACAATGCCTCATTCGAACTTATTACCAGAGGCAATAACAATCTCTGTTTGCCAGGTGTGTGTCTCAAGAGGATCAACCGGCCATCTTCGTGAGACACCTTGATTGGGAGAAAGAAGATTGTGATGTATAAAAATGGTATAAGTTCAAATGAACTGAAGGGATGGCATTTTTTATCCTTGCTGGGCTTCATGTTGTCAGAAGTGACCACTGAGCAGGCAAGAGATCACTGAAGAAAGGAAGGTGAGCACTTGTAGGAAAGAACAAAGAATTAGTGACTTTTAATAGAAGGAAGCATTGTTGTGAATGTACATATTTAATATATTTGATTATTTAGTATATAGGACATTGCCAGGATTTGATGTATATTTAGTGATTTAGTGTATTAGGTATTGTTGGGATCAATCTGTTACAAATTCAATTAGAAATTCAAATTGTCAGGATTACGTACCCTTATTTAGCAGGTTTAGATTGTTATCAATTATGTATAAATATAATTTCCACAAAATTGCTCTCGAGTGAAGGGAATTACAAATTTATTAACATGCTTCAGGCTTAGCTTTTAACTTGGGAATATGAGAATTTTATAGTTTGAACCTGACCTGAGGCAGTTTTATAAATTAAACTAAAACATTTGTACGTTTACTTAATGAATAAATCCATTTGTGGAAAAGTATGAATAGTTTTGACTTTGGAAATGAAACTTAGCTAATAATAAATGATTCTAATGTGGCTGTCCGCCATTTTGTATATACCTAGTTATAGTATTTAGATTTAAGATTCTTTGTTCTTTTCCTTCTTTCTTCTTCTACTAATGACCATTTCCGGTCACCCGATCAGGAGCGGGAACTTCGTGGATCCTGATTGGTGGCTTACTGACGTGAACAGGGCGCGGCCCTGCCCGTGGGGTGAAAAGGACACTTGCTTTTTGCCTGGACGACGAGGAGAAAGGGTTAAGAAAATCTCATCGGGACATTAAGTCAGACTTAAGACAAAGAACCAGCCCAATGTGCGAAGTTTAGCGTAGTCCAAAGCGAAGAGAAAAGGACTAGCGACTTGACTGATGAGAGATAGTAGTCTACGAAAACTAAGCGCCAAATTTCATACTAGGAATGTTTAATATACCAAAGTCGGCCGAGAAAACCCCCGAAATTATCGGAAACCACCATCAGGACCTCCTGTGCTAACTACCGGTAGACCTTTTCTTTCTTCCCTTCCTTTTCCTCTTATTAGTATAGTATTAGATTAAGTTAGATATAAGTTAATTATAAGTTAGTGATTAGACCCTATATCGTGATAATTAAAAATTGTAAGATTCCGGACGAGAGTAGAGACCTGTTGTATATTCGTGTTTTGTCTCTGACGGGCATCTCTGTAGTACCTGTTAATCCCTGTTATAATAAATCATTGTTTAATTGATATTCGTTGGAACGATTTGTCTCGTACATCTTTAACTTTCACACTAAATTATATGTAATGGCAAAAACACTAAGAAATTTTAAATTCCATAAAAAAAGTCTTTTGTGTATCAGATTTTTAAATATTGTTTGTATACCAACAAAATTTCATGTTCTTTAAAATATAGAATAAATAAAAATTAAAATTGCTGATGATGGGTTGACATGTCTAAAATGTTTTGATNCTAAGAAATTTTAAATTCCATAAAAAAAAGTCTTTTGTATATCAGATTTTTAAATATTGTTTGTATACCAACAAAATTTCATGTTCTTTGGAATATAGAACAAATAAAAATTAAAATTGCTGATGATGGGTTGACATGTCTAAAATGTTTTGATATGAACAATTAGCTCCTGAAATAAAATTTTGATAATCACCTAAAATTTCAAATACACTGTGAAGTGTCATGATTGTCTACCATTGAAGACGTTTTTATTGTATTATTTTCATGTACTGTCAGAAGAATTTAAATAAATAACTAAAAATATAATTTAGTCATTTTAAATGATATCAATTGATATAATTTCTGAAGTAATTTTTGGATAATTTTAAAAGACCAAATGGTATGAGATTATATCAATTATTATCTATTGATGAAATGATTTAAAATGATTAAATGACATGAAATGATGCTATTTAAAAAATAAGTTTTTGGACAATTTCATATAAATAATATCAATTAGTTATCAATTGATAAAACAATCTGTTGGTGAGCCTGGTATGAGTTACAATGTGTAATATGGAAGGCAATTTTATTGACATGCACTGACATTTGATCTTTATCTTTCCTGCATTATTATTTTTGTTATTTTTATTTTGCTTATAAAGGTTTTTGTAATATATGTTAATAATTTAAATAAACACTAAATATAATTGTGTATATGCCAAGGTGGCAACACAAGTTGAAACGGTTAAAAAAGGTGTGGAGAAAACAAACAGCCATGTTGTAGCTTAAGCTGGGTGTACAAGTGTTTAGTTGTATTAATAGAGAGGTTGAGGCGCACGTTTTAAACTTGTAAACGTGTACGTGTGACGTTCGGCGCCGCTTTCCCGTAAGCCTAAAAGTTTGACAATGGTGTTTGGATAGTCGGTGGAATCACGCTCGACATTCCAAACACCATCGTCAAACTTTTAGGCTTACGGGAAAGCGGCACCGAACGTCACACGTACACGTTTACACGTTTAAAACGTGCGCCTCAACCTCTCTAATAAAGAGCTATCCGTATTATATTATCTTGTCAGTCGAGTCATTTATAATACAGTTTTTGTGAATTGAATACAGTGAATATTTTCTAATATGTATGAGTATAATATATTAGTAAATGTACACATTATTTATTAGTCAATTTTTCTATTTAAGTAGTGATTATAATACTGTAGAATTCACTGTAAATCTAGTTAACATTGAGTCCAAACAATAATAATTTATCAAAATTCTCCTATTATGAACTGGAAAATTATAATTAGTACTGTTTCAGCAGATTATTATTTATTACAGAAACTTTTAAATTGAAATGATTTTAAATTAGGATAATTTAATTGAAATTTTTCATGTTTTCAGAAGCTTATTGTTTAGCATCCATTGTATTAAACTGACAGTTTTTAAACAGTATCATATACTAACTGCTTATATATTTAACAGTTATCATAATAAACTTTTAGTATATTTATTTTTTTCTTCACTAAATTGTGAGATCAGGGTCTATGAGACTCCACCCACTGTCTAGGATGACTTTCTTAAGATATAGGAAGCTTGAGAGATCAGAAGATCTCTCATCTTATCAGGATTCCTGACACCAATTAGAATAAATAATGCTCACGTCCTAACTCGTGGTTAGTTTAATCTTCAGTTATACGTCCA